GAAAATGCCACCCGAACACATTTATCTGCTATCAGAGATACGGTGGAATCAAATTTAAGGGTGGCTTTGCGTCTCTCAACAAACCATTTCTGTAAGAGCTCCCTTAACTATTCAACCAAGTAACCTACATGCATTAACCTGGCTTTCCGATCCACATTATTGAATGACTCAGCAATGTTGGTTGTCATTATTGTGTACCGCTGTCCATTGAAGAATGCACGAGACCATTTTATAGGATCTGCATCCATAAGGTAACTAAGTATGGCAGGGTTACCCTTTTCGATGAATCCCATATGACGGAAAAACTCGCTTCTAAGATATGTCCTCGAAGCACCATTAAAATATGTCTTCATAGTGCCGTTAAAACTTTTGAACTTCACTTTCAAGTTTCTAGTTAAGTGTTAAACGCATATTCCAAAATCAGCTTCTGGGTACACCTTCCCGACTGCATATTTAATACTCTTATGCCTATTAGCCACAATAGCAAGCTCATCTCGTATGCCTATTGATTCTCGTAACTTGGTGAAGAACCATTCCCATGAATCATTGTTCTCTGAGTCACCGATACAAAACACAATTGGAAATATTGAGTTCTTTACGTCATGGCCACATGCTACAAGCAATGTTCCACCAAACCTAGCCTTTAAGGCTGAAGCATCAACAACAATTACAGGACGACAATAAGGCCAATCCTGCTTCGATGCAGCCAAGCACATGTAGAAGTATTTTAATCGATCCTCTACAATTGTCTCAATGTGAATGTCTGATCTAGGATTTTTCTTCATCACCATTTCACCCAATGAAGGTAGGACTGCCAATTAAACATGTTGCATGTTAAACTCATAGGCATAGTCAAATTACAGTGTATATTTCAAAAATTGAGTTACCTTGGTATGATTCTGCATCATTACCACGAAGGTTGTGTAGGGTTGCTTCCTTTCTCCTCCAAGCTCTGAGATAATTGAATGACACTCCAAATTCACCCTGCATGTCCCTCATAACCTCACGAGGTCAATATGAAGTGCTTGTCAGATCCACGAATTTTGCTTTCACACATTCCCCGATCATCCAACTACTGGCTTGGCGATGGTGACCTTGAACAATTTTAATAGAACAAATGTGTATTTCATCATCCCGTTTGACAACAAACAACTCACTCCCCTTCATTCTAGTAGCGCGACCCTGCCATTGACATTTATCGTCAACATATACCACATGCAACAAAGTAGTGCTCGACCTCTTCACCTTAAATTGATAGTGTTTGTTCATGGCATCATGATGAAGATGGTACTGTAACAACCTTTTATTGTTATAAATGTTCTTCACACACATAGATCTTGGTGTATAATCAACAATGACTTCTCTGCCAGAAAAGCCATCTAAAAATTGTACACGATCATATAGGACTTTGGATCCATCGACAACAGATTAGGCTCCACCACTTCCTCCATTACTTATTCCCTTATTTCTGTACTACCTTCTAGATCAAAAGAATCAGGTTCTTCGCGATGTTGGCGGTCACAATCGATTCTATCATATTCCACCGATAATGTTACTAGAGGAATGAGGAATTCATCTTCATCGTCCAATCCATATACCTTTTCAAAATTTGCGCCGATATTGCCGACACCAATATTTTGCTCAGCTTCATCACTATGACATGAAACGGATGTTGGTTTCACCAGAATGTGGTTGCTTTCTCTTATCTCAGGTGGCAACGCTTCGGCCACTAACTCATCCACTATATCGACACATATTGGAAATTTATTAAGCGAGTAAACATCATTCTTCTTCAATTGCAGGTAGAATGTGACATCATAGTCAGATGATATCTTCACATGAGCTTCCCATCTTCAACAACATAACTTAAGGATAAACTTTTTCCTTGTGGCCGAATCCCAAGCACATTTCTCACCAAATCTATTAGACCAATATAAGTTGTGTTGGTAGGGACCAATATCCCCTTCATTTCACAACCGACGTATCTCGAAGTACGGTCCCAATGTCCATTGTACCTGATGAAGACATTCAATTCATCAGCCATTCCTAAATAATTTCAATTACTCCTAGTCGTCATCAGTCATAAGGCAGTCATAGTATGCCAGTCATAACACTATGGATCATTTTAGTCATAATATTATGACTGGACGGTCATATCACTATGACTACCTTACGGCCGATCATAATAATATGACCAGACTATGACCAGCCATTTTGACTCATACTATTATAATTTGACTCATAGACAATGACTCATACTGTTATGACTGACTGGTCATAATATTATGACCGGACATATAACACTATGAGTCATAATACTTTGACTCCCAATGTCAACTGTGTCTTTGACATGGTGGTCATTACAATCAGTTTACATATCAATTATAAACCATCCAAAATCTCAAATTGACGAAGGATAGTATCAATTCCTATCACATTAAGTTCAACCCAGTCATTTTTTTCGAGTTCTATGTACTGAGTCTCCCGAAAAATAAATTGAAAAAGAAAAATAAAAAAATTGTGTACCAATCTCGATCTGGTGCATAACCGGAGTATTGACGATGAGGAAATGGGGGAGTAGGGAAGAGAGAGACTGAGTAGAGAGAGAGGCCAAAACTTGAGAGAGAGAGAGAGCCGAAATGGGGTGTAGAGAGAGAGAGAATGGGCGGGAGAGAGTTGAGATTTCTTTAAGGTGTTTTTAAATGATAATTTTGACCTAAATGGCATAGAAGTCATTTTATCTCACACTGCTAACATGGCAATGTTAATTGTGAAAGTATACAAAAGTGGTGCTAAAATTAATAATCATTGATTCAAGAGTGTTATTATTGAAATTAACCCTGTGGTGGCCAACTGTGCTACCATTGCTTTTCTCACTCGAATGCTTAAAAAAATAAAATAAAATAAAGTACAAAAATATCACAACAATTCCTGAAAAAAAGACATGAAAATCACTTAATTGTTTGTTTTGTGGTTCCAACGAGTGTCCCCCCCACTGGCCAACTTTGATGGTATACATGAAACTTTTCACTAGTTTCATCGTCTACTCCATGGTTGAAGTTTAAGATCACATGAACCAAAAGTTTTATTCGATGATCAAGGATTAAGGTTCTGAACAGCGACCGCAAGAGATCTCTGCCACATGGAGGTGAGAAGAACTGAGACCTCCAGCTCGACATGCAGAGGACCTGCTCGAGTTATCACCTGCGCCCTTCGGGGAGAGATCTCGCACCAGCAACGCAACGAAGGGAATCGAATGATGTAGGATGTTTGAAATTTAAGAGAATAATACAAGGTAAAATCAATTTTACACATAATGGCTAACACTGAGATACAAAGATAGTCCGAGTGGTCCATCATCTAATGCCAAGATCACCGGGTTCGAATGTCGTCGGTGACATTCTTTGTGGAATCTCATCGACTTTTTGTGGCTTTGTTTACTACATACTCTAATCGGGGAATTCTGCAGTACTTTTTTTTTCCAGTTCTTCTGATGTTTTATGGATTGACTCATATTTCATATTTATTAGTTATTTTGTGAAAGCTAATTTAACTTGCCTTGAATAAAAGCATCCATTTTTCAAAAAATAAAAAAATTACTCAGAGCAAAAAGAAAGAAAGAGAGAAAAAAAAGACCTTTTTTTGGATCAACAATACTTTTGCGAGGGAGATTTCTCTCATCGTAACCAGCCGAAGGAGCTCAAGAACTAGTGTAATTATCTTGTATTGAGTATTTATTATTTTGGAAACCCAAAGTCTCTTTTAAGCATATGCCAATAAACGACTATCATGTATTGCTCTAAATAATTATTTATGTACGATACGATGTGCCTATAAAAAAATGACAAACGTAATCCTTCACGATAATATTATACGTGTTTAAAAATGACATTTTTTTTGTTAATATGTTTTTCAATATTATTCATATAATTATGCTTAAAACAACTTCTGGTTCTCAAAACAGTAATTGTTACGACTCAATATAAAAAAAATATATTAGTCATTCAACCAGTTACGATGAAACATGAGAGACAAGTTCATCATTTAAAAAGTAGACTACATCCAGGTCTTGAAAACAAAGAAGGAGATACCAAGATTAGGATAATGTACTATCAAAAATATAGGCCTCGTTCTTTTCATTTTCATGACTCAAACCACAACTCAATCTCTTTTATTATAGTTTTTTCTCTTATAAAAGCTCAAATTTAACTTTTTTGCTATAGTGTTTTCTCACACAAAAAAATTTTGAGTTGTGATTCGAATTGTGAAAAGTTACCTTGTTTGTTTTGCTAGTTCAAATAACAACTCAAGTTTTTATTATAGTGTTTTTTCTCACAAAATCTAAATTCTACTTTTTCTACGAAAATGTTTTTTTTCACATGAATTCACTTTTTAACTCAAATTCTCAACTCGAACTAACGAAATAGACAGAGATTAAAAACTGAAATTATAATTAAGTAATTTACGAAAAATACTAAAAAAAAGAGTATTTCAACACAAATAAGTAGACTTAATTCAAAAGTGATAATAAATATAAGAAAATAAAAAATCAATTTCTCTTTCCTAATTTTCCTGGTTTGGATTACAAATTACTAAACACGCCATTAGAAATTAATAATATTGATATTGGATTATAATCCCGGTTTGGATTATAATATTGGAATAATGAGACGTTAACACCATTCTAACACGAAAAGTGCCCACACGAATTCGGTGAGTCGGATAAACCAAATCCAAATAGACGATGACGTGGACTTTCATCCATCCCTACTTTCTCTAAACCCCAAAATACCCCCAACTTATACCTTTATTACAAACCCATCCCATCTCCACTAACTTTTTCTACTCATTCAACGCTGATCACAACTGCAAAATACTCTCTAACACTACACCCCAGAACCACCCAATCCTTGTCCATAATTCCCAAAAAAATAATTATTAAATAAAAATGCTTTTGTCCAGCATTAAGTTAATTAACTGATTTTTTGATTTCCGTTTGTTTGTTTCAGAGACTGTCGGAATAAGGTTTATATTTTTTTTTGTTATTATTATTTATTTTTCGTCTCTGTGAGTCAAATTTTGTCGGAAAGCATGTCTTTCTTCTAATATTCTCCCAAAAAAAGGAAAAAAAAAAAAAAGAAAAATCGTATTTTCCATGGCCAAACCGAAAGCTCCGAGACGAACCCTAGACTCCTACACTGTCAAGCACATCAACCGAACCATTAAAGGTCAGCGGATTTTTCTTCTCTTTCCTTCTCGTTTTACCGAGAAAGTGGATAATTTGTTTTTTTTTTTTTTTTCAAATTTCGAATTTTTGTTGGTTCGCAGCCGGCGACTGCGTGCTGATGCGGCCGTCGGATCAGGGGAAGCCGTCGTACGTGGCAAGGATCGATCGGATCGAGGCGGACAGCCGCGGCGCCAACGTGAAGGTCCACGTGCGGTGGTATTACCGGCCGGAGGAGTCCATCGGCGGCCGCCGGCAGTTCCATGGATCCAAGGAGGTTTTCCTCTCCGATCACTACGATGTTCAGAGCGCCGATACTATCGAGGGGAAGTGTACGGTCCACAGTTTCAAGAGCTACACGAAGCTCGACGCCGTCGGAAACGACGACTTCTTCTGCCGTTTCGAGTATAATTCCAGTACCGGTGCTTTCAATCCCGACCGAGTTGCCGTGTAAGATTCTGAATCTTTTTTGAAAATTCTCGATTTTCTTCTTCCCTGCTTTCGGTTGAATTGTGCTTTATGTGGTTCTTATGGTGTGTTATTGTTTGAATTTTCGCTAGTTATGGTCTAATTTTCAGCTCTTGTTTCTGTTTTAGTACTTGAATGGAAAGGAAAATATTAAAGAAGGAAAAGATTTGAACTTTCGTTGTGTTTTGATCGAATTGTGGAACTCTTCGTGTGAATTTTGTGGTTTTATTAGCAAATTTTGAATACTTGGACCTTAATTGTTTGTTGAACTATCAGTGTGAATTTGTGGTTTTATTGGAAAATTGTGAATATTTGGACCTTAATTATGTGTTGAATGTGAAAAATAATTACGCTAATTTACATTCTGATTGAGTAGTGGGAAATTAATCTTTTCAGTTTAAAATCAAAAAAAAAAAAAAAAAGGCGTTAAACTCAAAAGGCAAAATCTTTATCTATTATTTGTCTGCATTTCGTCTGCATGAGTTTGTTTGCTAAGGTTACTTGGGCTTTGAGCTGAAGCTACTACCATTGTTGGGTAAAGGCCATAAATTGTTTGAATTATATGGTGATTTTGCACCACGGTTGGAATAAGAGAACATTCCTGTTTGATTTCTGATTTAGGAACTACTAAATTGAAATGCTTCTTTTCTAAGTTCACTATACCTGTGCTTTTCTGGTATCAGTTCAAGCTTTCTTCTTTTTGTCAGAACAGAAGGTTTGATATTTGATCTAATATTGCTGGCAGGTATTGCAAGTGCGAGATGCCTTACAATCCCGACGACCTAATGGTTCAGTGTGAAGGCTGCAGCGATTGGTGAGTTGGGCGCTTTTAATTTATTCTATCCATATAAATTTTCTGCGGCAGGTAAAGTTGATGGGATTTTTGTTGACCCAACTACATTTGTTTTCAAGTAGTTCTCTTGTCCATTATTTGGCTTTTATCACTCCTTCCCCATGTCCAATGCGTGCACTGTTTATAAATGGGATGAATTTCGAACCATGAAATCTTTTGTACTACTGGACTACTTGTTTACATTTTTATTTTAAATAGAACATGCTAATTAAGCGGATATCCCGGAAGGAGAGGCTTTGGACCGTAGTTACTAGTCTTGTGGTTGTGGGCCTTACTTCATTGTCTTGTCTACTTTGTTTTGTGTTTAAGTGGACCTTTGCTAGTCAAATGGACTGTGCTAAGTGTTGAGTTTTGTTTCATAATAATGTTGAAGTATTTCACATGCTTCTTCTTTCTCTTAGGTACAAATTAAAAAAGATCCAGAAACTTGTAAAAATGCTTCTTACTATTTCAGTATTCCGCGTGACGTAAGTTTCTGCTCGAGAAGTTGTAGCAATTAGTCAGTGAGGATTTTATTCATAACCATGGGGAATGTAATAAATGGAATGTGCATGTACAGTTTTTGTGAGGCAAAAAATTTATTGGAAAAGTGGAAGACCCTATATCTATTACTGGTTGTAAATAAAGAAGTTATTCTGAAAAAAGCATTCATCCTTTTAGGCCAAAAAGA